ATTATATATTATATTTATATTATATTATATATATATAAGTATCCACACAAATCAGTACCACAGTTTTCTAACTATCAATTTAAGATTAACCACTGGAGAAGTCCACAATACTTGAATTACACTGTGAAGAAAATGAAAATCCAACACCCCACAAATTATGTCAAAGTAAACCAAAACCAGATTAAGTGACTGAGCTTGGATTCACCACACTGAATTTAAGGCACCTCACTAAAATGTCATCCGCTATTTCCTCCATCGTCAGAGGGAAACATGTTCCCCTCTATGTTGCCTAAAACTTTACATTGGCTAATAGCTTTTTTCTGTTGAGACAGAAGTAGTGTCAAAGAAAGCCTTAACGTTGTAAAATGAGTCTGGCCCCATCAGTCTGTTCTTTGATGTTAAAAAAGGCCATTTACTTTTAAAGATGCGCATTTGCCATCATAACAATGAATGTATTGAGAATTTCGTGTTCCCTGCAACACTTCAAAGAACATTTAATTTTTCCTTGTATCTTCTAGAAACATGTACAGTAATAACTAGCCTCAGTTCTTTTTTTTTAACTACAAAGGCCTCTAAAATAATTTTAAATTGCAAGAGAAATAATCTTATTTTATGTTCATGAGATGAATTTTAACTCTCATTTCTTCATTAGTTTTTATGCTATAGTCATCTTACTTGAAGTACAAACAGGCAAAAGAGAAGGGGCATTTGGTTCTTTGAATCCTGTGGCATCTGCATGGTTTTTCATAGTCTCCTGTGTAATCTTGTTTTCAGGTGCTGCAACCTTTTCTTTTCCTTCTACTTTTAATAATGAGTTGGATGAAAGGGAAACTTGGACCTAACCAAAACAACACATTTGTTAATGTTTAACTGCAAAGTTCAGATATTTCAGTTTTAAACATGGCATGAAAATGCTCACTTGGAAACACCACCTAAAAATCCTCCAAAAGATCCCCCTAGCACTTTAAATTAAAACAAGAAAACAACCTCACAATCCACCTTATTTTAGCATTATAAAACAAAGACTCAAACTCTAAGTTCACTTGGAAGTGTCCCTGACACATGCTAAATTATCTGTGAGTGAGCTCACATTCTTATTACATGGAAGTTCATTCATGTACACATTTAGTCTACGGAGGGAACTTGAGAGGATGGGAAAAATCATAATTACAGAAGCTTTCAAGCTTAGCTTTTCTGGCACATATCTAAGATATTTCTACTGTTAGCAAAATTCGTAGTATTTCTACTTGTGTTTTCTACAAAAACAATATGGATGAATAGTATTTCTACTGGCATCAGGCTCCCAGTTAGCATTCTGGAAATCAATAGCTGGCAGTTTTCTTTCTGCATTACCAGCAAGAGGACTTTAAAGACTGTCAACAGTAAAAGTAAAATGATGTAAGAAAACAGACACAACTACTTTAGTGAGTGTCTTCTTTCTTGTATTTGATTTTGTTCTTTTCTAAGGTCTAAAAAGTATGCAGGGACTTTTAAAACTCAGGAAGTTTTCTGTCAGTTCTCTCACTTCCCACTCTACTTTGCCACTCAGACATTTTTCAGCTTACACTTACGTTATTAGGAATGATATTATTTGTTTGGCTGGGATGATCGACCTTCATTTCTGGATAAGAGACACTGGGCAATGACTGTGGACTTTGATGTACAGAAGAGCCACCTTTCAGGTAAACAAAAGCAAATTCCAAATCAGTTACATAAAGCTTAATATTGTGTTGGCTGATATCTATTCCAGTAAGCAAGAGGGAGACCCCAAGTTACCTGAAGAAAGACTTGATGGTAACACTGAAATCCAACTGCATGGCCAAACAGTCAGATAAAATCCCATCTGTACTGTCTCCTTTCTGAAATCATGCCCAGCACTGTACAAATATCTGTACAAATATTCAGATGGCTGGCCAAAATTGACAGAGATGAGGTAAAGCCAAGTTTTCCGTAATTATGATGCACACATTTTGGGAATAATCAAAGAAATAGGGTCTCTCTCCCTCCTAAAATTATTCTAAAAAACCCCAAACTCATATTTATTATGTGTGCAATCCTCTACCTTTACACAAGCATCAGCATAATGTGACTTGACTACTACCTTGTGAACTCAGCATTGATGTCTCAGGGGCCCCAGCACCAGATACTCCAGCCGCTGGTGGCACTGGTGAGTCAGCGTGTAACTGAAGAAGATACCCTTCAACTGTAGGTACTTCATCCCACTTCACTTGAAAAGAGTTGGTTGTAGCTCTAATCAGCTGTACCTGTGATGGTGCTGGAGGTTTCTCTACAAGAAACCAGTAAAACACAGACAGCAGATTTGAAATCGCCCTCCTGTATCAGTTTAATAAATATCTATACAATGCAAGCAAAATCAGTAGCTCCTTTTCCACTTATGTACAATATATACCCGATTCAACAAGAAACAGTTGTCAAAGTGCCAAGTCAGAGAAATACAAAGTGCCACTCTAGAGTGTTCAGAAATGCAGAACTTTTGATGCTTTGTTTTTTAATGGCTCTTCTGCTGCCAGTAAGCTTTTGGGTTGTACATACATTATTATGGGCACTTCAGAAACAAAGAGATCCTCGTCCTTTCCTGAAAGGCTGCATGCAGCTTTTTGGCTTCTAAAACTTTAGGTGTTCCTGGAAGGGATTCACAGAAGACTGTTTCCTTTTGGCTCACTCTCTGTAGCTAAAGTGAGCTTTCCCTCAAACTTCTTCCGCAGGGGCCAAAGCCCAGGCGTGATTCAATGGCAATGATCGGCTCCTCCCACTTGCCTCAATGCCTACCTAGGCTGTGCTTTCAAGCACATCCCTCCCCTGCTATTTTTTTTCATCTTCTCACCTTTCTGAATTAAAAAAAAAAAACACAACAAACACAAACCCCAAAACTAAAAAGCCCCACATTCTCCTACATGTTTCACGATCTCCAGCAACCATTCTCACGCTTTTGGTTGAGAGGGCAACAACTCCCTCCCAAAAGTACTTATTCTCTCTCCCTCTTTCCCAGTGTCATCTCAGCGTCCTCTTGTCAAATCAGCTACTAATGAGTAATTAGTGCTCTAGAACTCCCTTCAGCCCCAGGAACAATTTGGTTCTTTCTCTGATTGGACAGTATCTTTTTGCAGTCCAAGAAATGAGGAAGCAGCAGCAGCAGCAATGATCCCAAGAGAAGGAGGGGGTTTGGTAAACAAGAATAAGTAGCAGCAGAAAGATCACTAAGAAGAGAAGCCAAGAACCCCAAGTTTAGGTAAAACACCCCTTTAGCACTATCTACTGCTTATGGCATGCAATGCAGGATCCTGCCATAAAGTTTGTGATGAGACTTTAAACAAGCCTTCCTAATTTTTCTGTTTAACTGACAGCTGTATACATACATATATACACACATACACCTTCAAACAAGTGTGGCTTATTTAAATAAGCTTTAAAATTTATCTAATGGGAGTTGGTTTAGATGCTCTGATCATCAATGTTGCCAGCTTCCCAGTTATTAAAGAAATAGAGAACATTGTACAAGCCTCTTACTTATTTCTGACTCACCAGTATCAAGGTACCAAAGATCTTTGCAGCAAACTTGATTGTTCCAAGCTTTTCTGTAACCATCTCTACCACTCCAGATATACAGACGAGTGCCAACCGCTACAGCACAGTGTCCTGCTCTTGGCCCTGGTAACAAGTTACTTTTGTCCTCCTGGCAATCTGAGATCAGACCTATCCATTCTGTGGTATCTATCAAATGAAACTTGAAAAATTTAGTTTCTTGATGTTTTCCAAAACAAGCAATACAGATGTTAATACACTTAACTGCTGAGAGAAAATGAAAATAAATGACCTGTTTTTATAGTCAATTGCTTTCAGATTTGCAATACTATAAAGAGAAGGCCGCTTTCCAATTAGTTTGCAATGATCAATTAGTACAGGATGAATTTTCTGACCTCCGGTTGTCTCTTTTGGGCAAATATAAGATCAGAAGTTGAGGATTCAAGGATAGTACTATCACATTTAGAAAAAACTCATTTCAGGATGTGCCTCTTGTGTTCTTCTAAAAATGAAGGAATATTTATATTACTTAATATTAAAGTTGGTTAAAAAGATTTGCATCAGCAAACCTGCTGAATATTCAAAGAAAACTAACACTAATTAAAAAAATCACTTCTTAAGAAAGATGCAAAAAACCTGGTATCTTCTTTAGACGGCTAGGATTACAACTGTGCATCCTAAAATTTTTCTCAGGGTCCTCAAAATATTTGTTCTACTCTGTTAAGAAAGTATTAATTCAAAATGCCCACTCCCAGAAAGGCAGAAACACTGACCCAAATTAAGATAAGCAAATGAACCGGTACATTTCCATTCACCATCATGAGCAGAGATTTCACCTCCTGCTGACTGTGGAACCCATCCACCAAAAACATACATTCTGAAATATAGGAAGAGAGGGAAGAGGGAAAAAGAAAAGCCAATTAACATCCAGATTTGCTGCATGTGCTCTCTCAAACTAGGACAAAATAGAAAATGTTTAGTGCTTTACTGTTACGGTTTACAGATTTTATTTGTGACTACTCTCTTTAGCAAGCATTGCTGTGGCCATCTATTTCTCAAATTTTTGAGTAAGTTAACTGATTAAAAAAACCCACCCAAACAAAACCCCTTCAAACTCCTCAAACAACTTCACAAAACCAGAAGTTAATGCTGTATCTTTTTACTGTATCTTTTTACAAACCACCAAACTGCTAGCGCACTCCAAAAATCACACATTTACACAGAATTTCTACAACCCTTTACTGCAGACCTCTCAATAAACCATTCTAAAATTAGACAGTATCCAAGTCAGATACCAAAATTTAAAAACATAATGCAGGCTACAAACAATCAAAAGCTAAGCTGTTAGGTCATAAGATAAAAAGCTTTAACATTTGTTTCGCCCCTCGCCTCTCTTTCTCCTCATGCCAGCTTGTAAACTAACATTAAACGGACTGAAACTCACATTTAAAAGTCCATTTTATCAGTGTTATCTGCCTGAACAAACCATATTGGCAGGAAGCAAAGTAACGAGGAACAAACTACAGAAAAACTGGCCCACAAAAACGTGGAAAGGTTTTGCCTAGAACTAGTTCTACTCTCCAGGCAATTTCTTTGCGTAGCTTGTTCATCGTGTCACAGACACAGAGGCACCCAAGCTGGCTCTTGACAGAGCCAGCTCAGGTCCAGGATGCGCAAAGGTGCGTTAAAGAAGCTTGGAAAGCTGCCTGTGGCTTGGGCAGATTGTCCTGATGGATGAGAACACTGATAGTTTGACACGCTTAAAATGAACACTTTTTAATTTCCACTGAGGTAAGATAATGGAAGCAGAAGAGTACTCTACAGGGCTGATGATTTATGCTGAGCAGTAGTGGGTAATCATCATCATTCTCCTACTAGTTGTACCTTTCTAGAGTTGAGCTTTTAACAACAGACATACTTGTTTCCTATTACATTGGCCGTATGGAGACTGCGAGGCAGTGGTACTGTCCCTTTAGTTTCTGGTCTTGACCAGGTCATGGTTTCTAAAAGAAAAAATAATAAAAACCCTCAATAAATTTGCTACTGTATATTTAACCCCCTGGATTTTAGGAGGGAACACACCTCTAACATTCAACAAAACAAAATTTCACATTTTTAAGATGAGCACTTACGGAAGGCACAATAACAAGCACTTAAAGCTTCTGTTAAAACTCACAAGAAATAGTGACAAATTGTTTATCAGTTTATCAGAAAGATATATTATGGTTTCATTACTGTTATTGTTTGGTTATCAAAGTAACAGTCTTTAAAGCATTCTAAGGAAACAATCTCACAGTGTAACCAAAATCAGTGAGGATAATACAGGCAAACAATGCTGCATCTATTTAATTCCAAAAATTACAAGAGTTACACACTATGGTATAAGTCTCAATGATATCTGCACCACATCATGCCATCAATCATTACACGCCACAGTTTCTCCTCCTGGCCAGTAAGGCCCCTGCACTGATTTCTACTGGCAACTCAACTCACCTATGTCAAGCTCCCAGAGGTCATTAAGCCGACTGCCACACATCCCTCCAAAAATATACATCTTTGGACTTCCCAAGTCTTTTCTGCAGTATACAATGGCTGTATGAGATTCTCGGGGAGAGGGCAAGACCCCTTTGGTCACAGGAATACTCCAGCCGACAACGCCAGAACCATGTTGCAACTCCAGTTCATAGAAATCATTTAAATATCTAGGGTATTACCGTCAAAGAATGAAAAATTCACTTATAAGCAAGATTAAAAGTGAGCTTTAAATCCTGATCACTTTCAAGTACTATAGACTTCTGTCCTGGGAGAGTGTAGAATTTTAAAATCTCAAGACATTTGATGGTGTTGTGGACTGTACCAAAACTATATGGATTTTAAACAAAAAGAAACAAACTTTTATAACCTGTTGCCTCTAAGGAAACACGCTTTCATATCACACTTGATACACTATACTACATGAAAGAAACATTCAACATTGGTAACCAGCATTCTTAGCAGAAGTTAACTACATAAGGACAAACTTAACTGCAAAGTTGAGAGAAATGCAGGATGACATGGGACATGAGAGGTGAATTCCTCCAACCCTAAGGAAACGAAGGTGAAAAGAAGCTGCTTCTTTTCTGATGTCTTCAGGCTGGCCAGCAGACAATTAGCCATTTGTTGCTGAATCTATCAGCAAAGTTATTTTTAGATAATGGTCTGTGAATCTTGGCATTCACACAGATACCTCTTGTTTACTGAGCTTAAAATTGCCCATTTATAGCTCGGGGAATACAAGCACTCTGAATCACAAGCGAATGTAAAACTTCAGCATTATGGCACCATTTGCGATAATAAACGCAACTTCTCTTGTCACTTTACAAAATTTCCAGATGAATTCGTAGCTGTTTTCCACAGCATTATAGAGGAAAATTCCATTGTGAATTCCCTGAAGACTCATGAGTCTTTGCTGATTTAAGTAATTCTAACAAACAAACCATTCTTAAAAAAAATCACCCAAACTACTAGGAAAAATACCAAAGTCTACCCATTTTCAGCTCCACAAGTGTCAGAGCTGTCAGTCAGTGTTACATATTGTGGGATTAGCAGAAGAAATATTTAATCTTCTTAGCATATAAAAGCTTGACTGCCCAAGTAATCCAAATGTGAGTACTTGGTATGCAGGGCAGCCTCTCTAGAATGTTCCTCTTCAAAGTTGTCATATCTAGTAATTTATTTTTAAAGACAATGAATTCAAACCAAATCAACATACCTGGGAACGTTATTATTAGAATCCTCACTTTCATTTGCCAGGCCACCAAATAAATAGCACTTGTTACCATATAAAGAAAAGCTGTGGCCAAGTCGAGGACAAGGTGGTGATCCAGCGGAAGGAGCTTGAGGTTTTACTTTTTTCCAGAGCCATCGACTTGCCTTAAAGACACGAAAAATACATTTAGAAATATCTTAATTTATACTCATTCAGAGTCCACAGAATTCAGATAATATTAACACTTGTATATGTCTGAATTATTTTAATCTGAATGCTGGGCTTTTCTTAGGATATACATTAAAATGAACAGGTATCAGCTAACCTTCATAAAGTATAAAATATTTAATGCTTTATTTAGACTAGATGCAAGTCTCTTTTTCAAAGTTATTTAGATTTTCTCCATCTTTAGAATCTTTTATTTAAAGAGTTTATTTTTCCTGGAGCAGAGCAAAGCTCATGTAACATCTGCAGCTGGTCATATAAAATGCATTTGTTCATAGTAGTTGTCAAAACTGATACTTCTTCACATGTTTCCTACCTGCAATTCATATAAATCATTACTGTATCTTCCATATTCAACCATTCCTCCAAAAACTAGTATTCTGGTACCATCACAAACAAATCCATGTGCTGCACAGCCTGGAGGAATATCTCCCCTTACAGCAGGAAGAAACCACTGATTTGTAACTATAGGAGAGGGGAAAATAAAAAAAAAGAAAAAAAAAGAAAAAAAAAAAGAAAAAAGATTTCAAACACTGAGAAAGAAAGCGGAATTTTTAAACACCTCTGCTTTCTAAAGAATTACCTTTTACCTGTAGATAACTGTGCTTGTGCTGTTTAACACTAAGTTTTAACTGAATTAAAACTTTTTTTTTAATAAATGGAAAAGCAAATACCTCTATCAAACCAATGTTACTCCATACATGAATGAGCACATGAGGCCACTGTAACTAAGTCAGTTACCATGGGTCACCCAGTAATTTAATAGACTTGCCAAAAAAGAGGCTAATATGGAATGTAAATACAGTTCCACACAAAAGAGATAGCTACACCAACTCAGAGCAAGCTAGCCCTAGAAGTGGAATTATTAGAGCTACAGCAGCATGGCAGTGTGCCTGGACTTAATAGCCCCATTGAAAAACTAATTACACTGTTCTGGGACGAATGTTAATACCTACAGAGCACTGCACTGATACATAGGAGAGGAGAGGCAAATGGCAAGAACAAGAAGCAGCATATTGGTGTTTGAACTATTCTGGAATGAAAGAATTACAGGAGATATAGTGTCCTTTTTCCTAAGGTTTTTTTCCACAAGCACAGAGAGGCAAGTGTGAAATCCTCAGTGCTGCTGAGGATTAAGATGCCCTCATTGTGTGCCAGCTCCTCAGAAGTCATCGCACTCACAGCAAGAGCAGTGGATGACATTCCAAGCTCAGGCAGCCCAGGTCCCAACCCCACATCTTAGGTCCAGAGGGAAAAAAAAAAAAAAGGTCAGTTTGGGCCAAACACCCGTCTGGGAACTGGAACAATCGAGTCGTGATCCTTTCTGTCACTGCTGCAACCATTAGAACCTCTGTTGTCATAGACAGTATAACTGTGCTATCTAAAAGCTTTCTTTAGATTACTCATCAAAACAAAAAAGACTTTTTTTTTCCTCGTTCCAAAAGCGTGTCTGAGTACAGCCTATCTTTAATCAACCATGGAAAAATCAACTTGGAAAAATTCTATGAATAAACATTTTTCTCTCACTAAACTACCTCCAAAACATTTGTGCTCCCAGATTTTACCTCAAAAACACAGAGCAAAAATACCATCACTTTTTTTTTGTTTTTTTGGAGGGGGACACGATATGACTAATTTTTGAAAGATTCCTAAAAGCTAGCAAGTTAGAAGGCTAGTTAATATGCTGTCACTTGCTTGCTTTTGTTGCACAAGCAGCCAACACCGGCTGACTGAGAAGCACAGGTCAGTCCCCTAACTCTCCCATCTCAGTCCGAGCCCTGAAATTACACAGAAGTTTTCCAGCCTCACACAGCATCCTGCTCTGTAATGGCACATGCATCTAATCTTTCCCAAATAAAATCGGTCCTGGGCAGCCTCCTGCTTGGAAAGGCTCCCAATGATAAAACGTTCGCTTTCCAAACCAAAATTCCCGATTTCATCCGAGTTCTGCTCCCGTGGGCTGCCACCGGAGGGGAGAAGGGGGACCCGGGCACTCGGGGAGGGGGTGAGCCCGGTCTGTGGCCCCTCCCGACTTGCCAGGGGAGGCTCCGTGTCCCAGGACGAGGCGCTGGGAAAGCAGAAGAGATACCAGATTTTCCAGGTTTCTTTCTTTTTTTTTTTCTTTTCTTTCTTTTTTTTTTTCTTTTCTTTTTCCTCAGGATCATTGGCATGAACCCGGGCGCAGCACAACCCCGGGAAGGCCCTTCTCCCAGGTGTTCTTTCTTTCTCTCTCCCATTTCGGCTCCAGGCCTCAAGTCGCACCCGGGGAAGTTCAGGCCGGACATCAGGAGGGATTTCTTTACTGGAAGGCGCTGGAACAGGTTG